TGCTGACCCTGCGGCTAGGTGCCAAAGGAGTCCCCTATTCCCGGGTCTAGTCGGGTTATGTGGAAATCATGGCCATCGAGTTGGCACACGCACTCGTCTCGTGCCAGGGCCATTGTCCGCCGGCCGTTACAAATTGTTGTGGGCGTTCCAAATCCGCTTAGGTCTCGCCTTTCTCCAGCTCATCCCTTCACTTGGAATTTAATTTTGTGTGAGTTTTGATTTCGCCCTGTGGAGCGAGTCGCATTTCATCTTGTGTTTGGTTTTTGAGCGTTAAATCGCCAAATCCTTCGTTAATTTTGACGTTTGTCTTTGTTTCGGGAGCAGGATGGAGAGGTGAGGGTGTGGCCGTCGATGACCGACGGTCAGTGGATGTATAGATGACCCGTACTAGGGGTGAAACCGGAAGGAGAAGGAGCAGGAGCCACACATGTGGGTGGATATGGATGTGGATGTGGATGGGCCTGCAACTGCTCGTCGGCTGGAGATTAAAAATTTAATTCGAAATTAGCGCAATTGTTGAAATTGCTCCCTTTTTTCGATCGATTCGAGTGGAAAGACAAACAAAATCGATGACTGTCCGGCAGCTGTCGCTTACCCGCTCCGAATAATGGCAACAATTTCCTGATTACTTTTGACCCTTCGAATGCGTTTTATGGTTATCAAGGAATGTCGGTTTTCATTCTTCAGCGATTTGATTTGGTCAGTTTGAAGTAAGGGTTTATATTTGGTAAGAGAAGGCAATTAATTGTCGAGAAGTGGACGATCCAGCTATACTGCCGAAAGTAATTTTTAATACATAAATTAAATCTCGTTCTAAGATACATTTTTCAATCATCGATTAAAATAGTAGTTATAAGTTGAAGGAATTATTGAAAATATATATGTTTTATGTTCTTTATTATAGCTATAACACTTTATACTTTATTCACTTTATGTTTGGTTATATGGATGGTATAGACCTGGCTTACAATTCCTTATTATATTTGTAAATATTACCAATTATTTTATAAAGACTTATTAAATTCAAAAACCGCTTGGGGATATATATACATATTTTTAAATTCATTGTTTTACCCTAGCAAATCATTAAGTTTATACATAGTTACGATAAGGCCTTTGGAGAAGTCGGAGACACTTTATATTAAAGAAGAAGATATTTTAAATATGTTATTTTAACGCCTAACTGAGTGTGGGAAAACATTTATGGAAGACTTAAATGTTAAAATCGATCGGCTCAGAGAAATTAAATTGGACATATCAATCAACTGCTAAGAAATTAGATCGTGGCTCCGGCTCCGATAATATCTATAGTTGCGCATGATGGGGGTGGGAAATGACCATAAAGGCCAAACAATGGCGTGTTAATGGCAACTTTAAACTGACACCACTCCGCGCGAAGGTTAATCGCTTCCAGGCCGGACATCGGACATTGGGCACCACCCGCTGATATCTAGGACTAGGGTTAGGGTTCGGGGTTCGGGGTTTGGGTTTTTGGCGGGGAGGGCCGCGTGATAAATGCATTGGACCCAGCGGGTGGACGGGCAATAGAGTTGTCAACTCGCCGAACTAAAACAGAGCTGCCATGCCCTGCGATGGCAACTGGAATTACACACACGAAACATGAAAAATGGGACCCAAGGGGAAATTTCGTGGTATGACGGCTATGATTCAATTACGCTCAATAGAAATGTCACTAGCAAATTTTGCATATTAATTGAATTGGGGCCGCACACAGAAACAGAAGGAACGACTGCCCCGGGACACTTGAACTGCCAATTGATTTTTGCGGTTTTTCGACAAAAATGTCAAACAAATTGTGCAAATTTTTTAGTCGCACTGGGCCACGCCCTTATCAACACTACACTCTCGCCCATGTATCTCGTTTTTTATTCCTAGCCAGGTGTGGCTAGTTGCTGTCGCCTCTTGTTTGTTTTGCATTAAACGGTTTGTTTTGCTAACCAAAGTGTTGATTTTATGGCCGACCAGCCTCCTTTTTTTGCCAGCCCCCGACACCGCGAAATCGGAGCTACTGAATCAGCCAGTTAACTTCTAACAGATATGTGCAGCGTATATATCATTTCAATCTCTGTAATTTGCAATTTATACGCTCTTGGAACGTTAGCGTGAGTAGAGTGGGAGTGTCAGCAATTTGTTTGGCTTATTATTTCGTTCATTTTTATTTTAAACAAGAGAGAACGCTATAGTCGAGTGCCTCGACTATTAGATACCCGTTACTTAGCTAAACAAATTAATATAAATATGCCTTCTTGTATGTTTTTCGCCGCTCGAATTAGCACCTTGGCCAGCTGTTCCAAAGTCATCCGTTAGATGGCGCTACGGGCCATGAAAGGCGGAAATGTAGGCGCTAGCCAGGTTTAAGCGTTTAATGGGTTTTTGGGCGTTAGAGTGGGCGTGGCAAACTTTTATTAGGCCAATCGATAGGTATTGACGAAACAAATACATATCAATTAAAATTTTCATAATAGAATCAAAACTGTGGCCACAGCTTGTGGCTTGTGGGCGTCAGAGGGGGCGTGGCACCATTTTGAAACAAACTTGCGCTGCGTAGGAACTCCTAAAATCTACATGCAAAATGCCAATCTTCTAGCTTTTATAGTTTCCGAGATCTCAGCGTTCATACGGACAGACAGACGGACAGACGGACAGACAGACGGACAGACGTACATGGCTAGATCGACTCGGCTAGTGATCCTGAACAAGAATATATATACTTTATAGGGTCGGAAACGCTTCCTTCTACCTGTTACATTCTTTTGCACGAATACAATATACCCTTTTACTCTACGAGTAACGGGTATAAAAATCTCAAAATGGTTGCATATTAGAAAGGAATACCTTGTTTGCAAGTCATAAAGAAAGTTTATCTACATACCCATTGGTTAAAGCTTTATTTATAGAATATCCTATTATTTATTTCGTCATTTCCTTTCTATTTGAATAGTCTTTGTTTAGCTTGAAATCTATTACCAAAAAAAACTTTAATATCGGCCATTTTCCATTTTAGAAGCGCCCTATCTATATTGATGTCTATTAAATCTCCTGACTTAGATTGATTACCTCGAAGCCAAATAACAAAAACTATCGCCTTGACATAGGGAACCATAAAAACACAACACAATACTATACTTTTTATCCGTACTTAATATAACTTTGTGTAGTGCCCCATAAACCCTTCATTACACGGCACTAAAGCCGCGGCAATAAAAGCAACTACAGCAACTAAAACCCGAAAATAAAAACTCAATTTGAATTCAAAAACCACCAAAATGGTGCGTGCTTATCGCCTTGCCTTTTCCTTTGGACCCCGACTTCAACCTAAACCTAAACCTCAACCCGAATCTGAAATTAAACCTGAACCCGATGAGCTCGATAAAGCGACAAAAGCGGTCTAGAAAATAAATTAAAAATACATTTTTACGTAAATGTGGCACATTAAAAGGCGACTTGAGGAAAGCACATAATAAATATAAAAACACAATTAAATAAGTGCATAGAAAACAAATTCGAAACGAAAAACAACCGACAGAGGAAAACAAAAATAGAGAAAAACATAAAGAGCACACGAATTAAAATAACACCAAGATATTTCAACTACTCGGCGTGAAAGGGCAAAAACAATAATAGAGAGCCCCTTTCAAAATACCCTAAAAAACTAAGATCTAAGTTTAAAGGGTTTGATGTAAAAACGGAGGGAAGGGGGATTTTAAAACGCATTTATTTGAAATTTATTTCAATTCCTATGCCCTCCCTTAAAATATTAATAATACATTTTAAAAGACTTTAAATATTTAAAATATTTTAAAGAAGTCCAATTTATAGAGTCCGAAATGCCCAACTTTTGAATTCTTCCCTTTAATCACAGCTGACAAAAGAGGTGCTAAGACAAGACTGAACCGGGTCGAGAAATGTTAATGTAAATTTCAATTGTTTTAATTTATTTGTGACCCCTTCGCCAACCGACAAACCGTCACGGACTAACTTAATGTTATATATACATATATATAACACGAAAAAAACTGAATTAAAATGAAGGCAGAAAGAGGCGAGTGATTGCCGGTTGGCTCTATTCTCTAGCCTATCTGTCCAAGACGTGACTGGCATTCCACCCAGGGATCCCTCGTCCAAGGGTTTTATGGAGGGGAACGGAACCAACTGTCCCCGCGTATCTGGAGCACAACGAATGGTCTCATAACCGGAGCGATTGCATATAGTTTACTGAACTCTCTGCCCGCTGCCAACAAATAAATTAGTTCTTCCGAAAAATCCGCTTGTAAAAAAGCAGAGCGGAAAAGCGAGGAAAAATGCAGCAGAATGTTCGATGAAAAATGCGTTCGGTTTACCATTAATCCGGTGCCCTGATCCAGGGCGACAGATCATTACACACGCGCGGGCTTCCAAAAGGAGGAGGAGTTCCTCGAGTGGGGATATGCGACATGCGACAGGCAACATGCGACAGGCGACTGTCGATGTTGGGGCCCCCGGAATCGTAAGTATATGTAAATTTATTAATAAAAACTACCGAAAAAACGGATGCACATCGTTCCTAAAATGGGAGGGTGTGCTCTAGTGCAGTTGTTGCCTGTCCGTAATTTATAGAGCCGCTGCCAAATGACATGCTAACTAATAGTATCATCATAATTTATACATACAAATACATTGCATTTGTTATTTATGCCCCTGTGCCACCCCAGACCACCCTCCCTCCCCTCCCCTCCTGTGATTTCCATACAGATCCCTGCTGACAGAGGTTACGGCACCCGCCAGGTCAGAAGGTCACCCAGCGTTAATGGCTCCGTTTGACCCTCGGCTGTATTTGAATATCGATCACAATTAAACGGTCACAGATATGAAGAGGACACGTGATTATAGATTGATAGATTTGCAAAATATATGTGTATTTATTGCACCCTAAATCTTAATTTCAGTTGCATTATTTATTACGCGATCTATTTATTGGATCCTATATTTATAAACGCTCATTCAAACGGAAGATTTCGATTTATTATAATAAATACAATTTATGGGTTGCCTACTTGTTTTAGAGCCAAAATTACAGGCGCCGTAAAATGGGATTATGACAAAGTTTCTCCCGAGTTCTCTAGATGGATATTAAAACGATCTTTGGAGAGATGGATTGGAAAAGTAAGGACTTCTAGAACAAACTACCTCGGTAGGATTGGGAAGGGTTTGGATCATTGAGACCTGTACAAAAGAGAATCTACATTTCTTGTAGTAAAGGGGATACTATTAAATACTTCATACCATTCGAGCGACCAGAGTAGCCTCCAGCTAACCTCTGACCTCCACGCATTGAACCACCGCCCATGCCTCCGCCAAGACCATTGCTCATGCCCCGACTCATGCCAGGATTCATGCCTTCATTCATTCCCATGGAGTCAGCCATTCCGTTACCCATTCCCCGACCCATTCCATGACCCATTTCTTGGCTAGATTCGTTGCCCACTCCTTGGACCATGGCCGGGCTAAAGATAATCCTTAGATTAGTTCCTGATTAGATAGAGAGATGCCATCACCACTTACCCCACTTGAGAATGTCCGTAACTGGGCTTGAAATTCGTGTACATGTTCATCATGTTTTGGTTGTAGGAACCGAAGGGATCTCCTGGCGAAGCGTGATGTGGATGTGATCCCGATCCGTGGGGACTGGAACCCTGCATAAAGTTGTGGGTGTTCGCCTGATTCGAGTGCAACCACTGGCGGCCACCGCCACCCGAAGGCGCCTGGTTCATTCCCATCTAAATGAAGTATTTAACTTTACCGTAATCACCGAAAATACCAGACTTTCTCACCTGAGAGTAGTTCGGATTTCCCTGACCGCCATGACTGTACTCCCAACTGAATTCTGGACCGTTCTCCATCTTTAGAAAACTTTAGAAAAATTTTCAAATGATTTTTGGAAAAATTTTGTTGGCCAGTTGTTGCTTAACCAATCTGTTACCTAACTGAATGTCGGAATAAAAGTGAATGAATGAGATACGAATCAGTTAAAGTAGACATGACATTTAGTTATACGACTACATGATTTTTAATTTTTAATAGGATATTTTTCATATATGCAAAATCATTTTTATGAAAAACCTTTTTTAATAATTTATCCATATTAACATAGCTCAATTCAAAAACAAATCACAGAAATTAATAATTACTTTCAGTTTGTATATCATTAGTAAAAACCAGTCTTATATCTATTAACAAAATCTTCAAAATCACGCCGAGAACTCCGAATCATATCTGAATATTTCCCACAAAATCTTAGTCATAATAAAATTCAAATTGTGGGCAAACACAAAGTCATAATATACATTTTTAATTGCCATCTCAACTTATGGACAATGGCATTTAAAAACAGCTATTTAAATTTATTGAATTAGTCGCTTAAGTGTCTTGGGTGCTGATTTATGGATCTAATATCGAGATGCTAATAGATAAATAAATAAATGTTCAAATAAATGTGGCATAATAAAAATTAATTATGGCAATATTCTTTAAGTTAAATAAATGATTGACTATAAAAAGCGATTGTACAAGCTGAACTTAGAACAAACATATAGGCAAGCTGTTTTACAAATATTTGTGTTTTAACTACATAAATCTTTGGTTGGGAAAGATCAATGACCAAATAAAGGTAAAACTAATATATTGAAGTCTTCAAAAATATATCCCGTGTTGAGCCACACTTTGGTAGATAGGAGACCTTATCCTTCACATACCGCCTGTCTTCGTAGCGACTTCCACCTGTACTCACCGCATGCCGCACAGCTGTATCATTTTTTGTGCCCCTTGAAAACCAGTTTCCTATCGATGCGAGTATTATTTATGTGCTTTGTCGATCGGCGAAACAAAGGCCGCAGGGTGACCTACAAAGGAGCTGCAGACAATGGCAGATGACCTCATAAACTGCATCGTTATGAGGTTCATAAACATATTATTGCTTCATATTCATAATGCACTTGAGGGCAAGTGTCGGCATGTCCTTGGACCAGAAATAGTATCTCTACCTGTCCATCCAAAAAAGTATCTCTGCAGCCCTAAGATTTATTACTGCAATGGCCAGAGCTGAAGGCACGTCAGCTTTGCTTTTTAGCAGCAATTTAAAATGCATAAAATATTTGATGGTCCCTTTAACTCAAAACAAGGCATCAGCAAAAGAGAACTCCCCTCCTTTGATCAACAACTCCCTGATGGTTAATCTCATTTTATGGCATTCGTGCGGTCTTGGGCCGTAAAATTGTTTTGTCACCTGTTGAAAACATTTTTTATTTTTAATTGAAAAAATCTGTTAGCAAATGCCTCGAGCTCCAGAGCACACAAAAATTTCATAAATTTTTTGGTCACCCTCGTCGTTGGGGAAAAATGTTTTTCTTTCGATTGTTGTTCTTTCTATTTTTTCACCGAGTGTCTGTCTATTTTTAACATGCGGGGAATTATGAATTTCAACCGCTTAAGGTCCATCCTAATTGCTGCCAATTAACACCTTCAATAAGCCCGAATGCCAAGAGCTCATTTGTCAGGGCCACGGGGGCGTCCAAATGCCCAGAAAACATTTTGATTTATCAACTCTTTTTACATTCCCAACACGAGTGCATCGATCAGAGGCGGAGGACACGAAAATAGCTTGGCTGCCCGGAGACGGAGTCATCGGAGTCATCTGCATTAAGATCCGACAACGACAACACTCGAATCGATTTAACTCTTTGACCCCACCCACTCGTCGTCGACCCCGAAAGATCCAGGTTTCCCTGCGATGGGAGTCGACAGCCAACACATGCGAGGGCCTATTAAAAAGATTGTTTATGAAAACAAACATTTTCGGGGCAATTAATCATCGGCAAAGGCATCGGCGCGTGGGGGAACTGCAGCCATATAGTAACCCCTTCTGTATACTGATGTTGATGCTGATGATGATGATGATCTCCATCTCTTCATTTGCAGTAGCTGGCTGAGTGCCTCCAATTTTCATTTGGAAATCGTTTTATGGTCCCAATTCGGGGAGCACCTCGAGATGGGGGAGTGTTAAACGTCTGCCAATTAGTGATGCTTGTTGGATCTGCTGTTGCGATCGTTCTCCTAATTGGCTAAAATATGAAATGCCTTTCGCTTAATCACTGGAATACATCGTCGTTCATCAGAGCACATTTAAGAAGATGTGAATGTTTGGGGAGTGGAGCCAACACCAAACTAAATCAAATTAATTGTTAGAAAGGCAAATAAAGTCTATAATATTTTACGAAGTCAATCTGGCGATTGATTCGTTAATTTCATTATTTTAAAATTTTTTTTAATCTTACTATCTTACTATTTGCCTTTTTAAAGTCTTAATAACTAGCTTACCTATCATTTTAACAATAGTTTCGAGAGAGTAATAAAAGCATTTAAAATCTCAATGAACTCACAATATAACTCAATTCCTACTTTGTATCCCAAAAATTGATATATCCCCACATGTAATTTTATATCTACCTCTTAGTATTTCATAGCTATTGATGGTTGTTGTTGCTGTTGTTGTTGTTGACAATTTGCGATATAAAAACTGATGTCCTGTCCGGCAAATATCCTTAGGGGGTTGGCCGGGATGGATGGGATGGATCTCTGTGTGATTTGATTGTGAAAACCGAAACAAACAAAAGTAATTTTGGAATGAAAAGCAATAAATTTGAGAACATTTATTGGTTTTTGGCTGGCTGTCATGTGCCAAAAGCAGCAGCAACAACCGAAGGGGCATTGCTTGCATCATTTAGCCCCGGCTTTATGAGTCTCACAGACAGAGAGGAAGAATGTATAGATATATCCACCCACAGATGGACAGAAAGTTGACTCCTTCAGCAATTGGGGGTTGAGCCTGGAATGCTCACAATTGACACTGGAAAAATTTTCTATAATGATGAGATATCTGGAAATATATCAAAATATAAAACCTTTATCTAAAGACTACATAAAGTTAGAAATATTAAATTTTAGTATTTAACTATTCAGATTGCAATGCCAAATATACCTTCACAAACTTATCAACATTTACACGATAAGGTTATGGATCAAGCTTTCAAACTACTTTAAAATATTATCAGTGCCCACGTGGCACAAGACAAAATTATTCTTACACTTACAGGCTGCATGTTCAATATGATATAAAATGAGACAAATCGATCCTAACTTTAGCTAAACTTTAACTAGAATTTTATCATAAATTTCATAAATACAACTTTTGAAATAACTTGTCCTGTGTGATTAGTTTTAAACTTGTAGTGTTGGGAAGAACTTTCATAATTAAATGAAATTAACTTAATTATGTGCGAGAACTGGTTGGGAATTATAGAGGCATACAAAAAAAGTAGTTTGCAAGATAGATTGTAAAGAAGTGTTTATTTATTATATAAAGTTAGTGCTTAATATACACAATATTTAACTGAGTCTTGTCCACGAATTTATGTCCTGTGTATTTTAAAGGAGCACTTGAGCGGGTTTCCGTAGTTCGGGCCTCGTCATTAGTCCCCGCATGGCGCGTGCCAGGGGTTTTTCCATGGGTCCCCGAGCAGATCCCGCCAAGGCCGTAGAAGTGCAGCGACAATACGGAATACTTCCGCTCGGCAGTTGCAGGAGGAACACTTTCGAATAATAACAATAACAATAAACCCGAAGCGGGACATGCAGGACAATGGTGGTGGTGCCCTGCGGTGGTCAGGTCCAATGAAATTTAATGAAAGGGGGTGGACCCGGTGACCAGTGGTCAGGGGTTAGGGATCAGGCAGTTTAAATTGTGTCATGTCCGCATTTGGGAAAAATCCCCCTCTCCTTTTGGGCCATTTGACTATTGTGGCGGGTTCGAAAATTGAAATATTACACTTTTCATTCGAAAGCGCCGCTTTGTCAGCAGCAATAACTGTGAAATCAATATCGGAACCTTTTGCGACCTTTTGCCAATCTGACAGATGACCCGAACGTCCTTCTGCCCTTTCTGTTCTTTGGCAGGACATTAACTAAAACCAATTTCCACTGAAAATTAATGTGCCATATATGACGCTTCAATGAGTGGGTTCTGTCACTTCCGATCCCCATAAATGCGATCCTAATGATGCCACTTTTCTATTGCAAAATGAGTCCCATCCCGCAGCTCAGTCAACTAAGTAGAATACTCATGTGATTTTAATCCTTGAAGCCTTGTTATATAAACAAAATTTTCAGAAAAGCGTACTAAATTTTTAAATTTCATTACTGGTAAGATAAAGTCTTATAAAAGTAATGGGTTTACTCTTATGTGCTATAATACTATTATAGAAAAATAAGAATGAACTTGTTGTTTAGGCAATATTTTTTTTAATTTCATTAAATCTTGAGGTCTCAATGACATATCGAAAATGTTTTTGTTTAATTATATTAAGTTAAACTGTCTGTATATTAAAAACAGTAGTTTAATTTGTCAAATATAAAGCTCGATATCTTCTTTAAAAATGTTGAAGTATAGTTATTTGTAAAGAGAAAATAGTTGAGTCAATTATACCTTAAATTTCCTATTAATCTTTAACATAAATCTAATTTTCTAAATAAGGTAGGTCTTGCAACTCACCGTTGATATCCTATCTGAATGAGTAGTCGTAGGAATGTGGTCGGAATCCTGCGGGCTATTGGCCTTTTCCTGCCTCCCCCTGACCCCTGACCCCTGGTGCTTCCCTCTTCCGCTCCACCAACACAGAGCCAACTGTCAACGCATTGTCAATTCTATTTTTATGTTTTATGTTTTTATACCCTTGCAGAGGGTATTATAATTTCAGTCAAAAGTTTGCAACGCAGTGAAGGAGACATTTCCGACCCTATAAAGTATATATATTCTTGATCAGCATCACCAGGAGAGTCGATCTAGCCATGTCCGTCTGTCCGTCCGTCTGTCCGTCTGTCCGTCTGTCCGTCTGTCCGTCTGTCCGTCCGTTTCTACGCAAACTAGTCCCTCAGTTTTAAAGCTATCTGCTTGAA